GATTTTCAACAGCATTAACAATTAAAATGAATCGCACATGTAACACGAATAGAAAATAATGACAAAATCATAAGACATTTGACACTACTTTAAACAAAAGGATTGGCTCGCAAACCTTATCTATGCTAGCAAAAAAAGAGATAAGTTCAAGATCGCTAAAAACCCATTTTCCTGAAAAACTCTTTTTACAAAAAATATTTTATAAATTTCAATCGACAGTAACGCTAAATGTTCAGTTGATGAATGCCGAATGACGTCACTTGCAAGAATTGCAGAAAGATCTGTAGAAAATGCGCTCATCATTGGTTTATTCTATATGTACACGATAATCTAGATCACTTATTGCCAAAATCCCTCAGGAACAAAATTATGGTAATAAATATGGAAGTTTTCCCCATCATCCTTACTCTCCTGACCTTGTTCCATCTGATATTCATTATTTCAAATCATTGCAACATTTTCATTGTGAAAACTGTTTGTTAATTGAGAAGAGTTTAAATCCTATGTTTACTGTTTCTTTACATCGAAGTTTGTGCGCTCAAGGTATGGGTAATTTGCCAAATAGTTGGGAATATGCTGGTGATTACAAAGAGACATTATTTTGAGTTAATATATCAGTTAATGGCAAAGAAGTATTTTGTTTCTTTCCCATGTACATATGTGAGAAATTTTTCTTTTCAAGCTCAACAATTAAGAACAAGTATCAGAGGCTATTTTCGTGAAGATATTTATCCAATGAAAACTTCTCTACATTTCCCCTCCAATGAAATCGTTCCAGTTCATTTTATTAATACAATTACCGTCTATTGGAATAACATTAACTAAATACGTTTAATAAATTTGTCTTTGCTTTCAATATACATAGATTAAATTTTACAAAAAGAAACCTTTAAACCCATTTACTAAAATATGCAAAGTTCTACCCGACCAACACTAGCAAGAATACAAAAAATATTAAAATAAAAATCTTAAAAGTCGTTTAAAATTTGGTTGGAGGATATAATATTGAGTAGTTAGTATATATTTCTCTCATGAAAATGATCTTTTTTTTTTTTTTTCAATTTCTGTTTCATTCTATCATTTCAATACGTGTTTCTTTCTTTCTGTCTTCTGATTATTGTACGCAGACTATATTCCTCTTAATAAATCCTCTGAGAAAACCCTAGCCCCCACAGAACAAGAACTTGATTCGCCACCAACTGTTCGATCATATTTCGCTGACAGCTTTCTTTAGTTTCTAACAATCAACACCAGCAGCAGGACGCAACGCCACACAAACAAAATGGCCGACCTGTATTTATTAACCTCTGTAAGCAAGACTCCGTATCCATTGAACGAACAAGTTGAGATCATCATTATATGACACAGCCTGCCAATAACGTTTTGTATAACTGCTTGCGTTAGTCGAAAAATTCTATTTGTCAAAAACATGGAAATTTCTATCAGAACCTGCCTGTTGTTTTCAATTCAACGGATTTTCTTCATTTCATTATTATTATTATTATTATTATTATTATTATTATTATTATTATTATTATTCCATCTTATTTCAAATTTTTTTAGACTTTTATTTTATTTTGTATAAATATCTATATATTGTTTTTGTTGTTTTGATAGGAGTGAAGACGGAAAGATGTGGACAGGGGTCGTTTGTGCTGGGTGAAATGCGCATAGGCTAATCATGTCGTCCGGTTGTCTAATTTTATTTATTTACGATTAATTTGAAGGTTCGGCGTCGTTTCGTAATTGTTTGTGTTCGATGGAGGGATTAACACGGAGGGCGTTATCGACATATGTGCGCTTGTTATGGGTGATGTCATAGCTGTTCTTTTACAAATGGACGCTTGTCTGCACACAATTTTACACAATAGGAAACTGTTTCTGTTAATCCTTATAAAATAACTAGAATTTTCAAACCAAAAGACACCATTTCTGATGTACACGTATACATCCATATACGTATATATGATTAACTAATATATCTTTCTATCTATCTATCTATCTATCTATCTATCTATCTATATATATATATATATATATATATATGTATGTATATTATCATCCACAAAAAGACTGTTTCACAAAACCTGGATTATGCGGCGAGACGTCCGATTGCTTAAAGTTGGGATCGAAACCAAACTGATTTGGCATTATTCTGAGGTCCTACCCTAGGCTATCACCGCACGACAGAGAGAACGGAGTGATCAATTCAGTTAAAGAGAGCAATGTTACATATATATGTGTGTGTGTGTGTGTGTGTGTGTGTGTGTGTGTGTGTGTGTGTGTGTAATAAATATATATATATATATATATATATATATATATATATATATATATATAATTATTTATATATTATATGTGGTACTTGTTAGAAAGCGCTCAATATCAGAGATAGAGCTAATATATTTGGTTTGTCTGACGATCGCTAATGTGAAACCCAGGTCACAAACTCACATCTATCCAACCAAATATATATATATATATATATATATATATATATATATATATATATATATATATATATATATGAAGAATAATATACAGAAAAAAACAAACAAAAATCTTAATATGCAATTATGCTGTATTAATGTTAATATAATGTCAACTAATCCAAACAGATAACTGAAATTTTGAAATCATCTTCGAATACGTTTTCACAACATCGCCTACGTGACGACGACGTGATCATATTTAAACAGAACGCTGATCTTATATAAATATTTCAGTTATCTGTTTGGATTAGTCGTGCTCTTATGTCCATCTTCTTTTTCATGTTGAATTTGAATATGTTCTAGTGTTAATTATGTTTTATGAATATGTCCTGATGATGGTCTAAAATAGACCGAAACGTCCGACGTTGACATTATATTAACATTAATACAGCATAATTGCATATTAAGATTTTTGTTTGTTTAATCTGTATATTTTTCTTCATACTGTCGGATCTATATATCCATATATTTATATACATATATATATATATATATATATATATATATATATATATATATATATATATATGTTCCGCCCAAAAATATATACATACTTCAAAGAAGGAAAAGTGTATCAAATTGCGATGATACTGTTTACGGTAATACTATATTTTTCAAAAGATTACATGACTGCAGCATCAACAGTTCCTGAAGGATGCAATGAAAACCGATTCCAATGTGCTGTAATTCCAATGGCCAACGCTGCCGAAACAGTCTTTCGCTATACTAATAATTTTCTGGTAGCTAAAGACCGCCATTTTGTGCATCTTTTGTGATTGTGGCGTCCAAAGGTAACTTGTATTATTCTCGTGGTGTCTCAATAAATTTAGTATTATAATATCTATACCAGTTTTCCCTCTCCTGAAATTTGCATACAATTGTTTGGCAGATTCTTATATCTATCTATCTATCTAAAATATTGGAATAGCTATATATATATATATATATATATATATATATATATATATATATATATATATATATATATATATATTTAACCCCTAAACTATTGTATGAATTTCATTGCACTATATATGACTATGATTCTTGTAATAAACAAGAAAGTAATTCAAGCACATACTTTGCCCAGACGACTAAGTAATTTAGTCGGAAGCTCACAACCTTCTAAAGTGATCTTAGTTCTACTGTGAAACATTTAAAATCACATATACAATTCCCTGCTCCCACGAGAAAACTCATTGTTGATAATATTGTCATTACAAAAACATCTGATTGTGAAGGACGTTTAATAGAAATACATTTTATAAAACAGTTTTAATCACCCATTTATAAACCTTGCTTGGAAACTCGTAAGCCGTGTTAGCTGTGTTCTGAATGCACTCAAACATGGAATTACTACTACTCACATCCAGCACGGTTTAGAATTACTACTACTTCTTCACAAAAGAGTTGAGAGTATAAATGCATAAGTTCAGAGGAGATAACATTAGAAAGATTTTAGAGTTCCATGAAAATAAGTGGATACAACGTCTAAAAACACAACATCCAGCCGGGCTAAACCATAAATTTAACAATATCGATAGTACTAATATATAACTCAACAAATGAAAACCTACCCACATTTCTCACCCGCACAAGACAGACATGCTTACGGAGGTGTGGAGGCCTCACACTTATACACACACCCACACGAATATACACACTTACACACATCATACTCACTCACTCCCTAATGAGCCAAATGATAACACACACCCACAGCAATACACACGCTTACACACATCATACTCACTCACTCCCTAAGAACCAAATAACACACACAAAAACACTAAACAGAGACACATCCCCTCTCCAGGACAATAAAACTGTCAAAATGACCATGGGAATTCAGAGAAGCATAGATCCATCCACCTCTTATCTCAAATAACAACTTAAAAGAGACTGTTTGACCAACAAAAGGAATGTTAAAAGATTCATGTTAAAAAGATAAAAAAAAAATTAAAAAAAAAACAAATGAAAACTACAGACAAAAGTTCATTTTCTCCAGCAAGACATTCATTTCTGTAGTTTACTGCTACCAGCAAGCAGAAATATTTCTCCTCCCGATGATGGCCATTTTTGGGCCGAAACTAGTCGAGGAATCTAAATGAAATAATAATAATAATAAAAACGAAAGAATATTAATCTACAAACCAGTGTGTCTGAAGATTTTAATTTTTTAATAATTTTTTAATTTTTTATTGTTCAATATATATATATATATATATATATATGTATATATGTGTGTGTGTGTGTGTGTGTGTATACTAACAAAGAGCCTGTTTATATTTCTGAGATGAGGTATTATATAGACTCTTTACATAGTTCAGACTATCATTCTCATCTTTGTTGCCATAGTTATCACAACGTTTCGGGCGTGTGGTTATGTAAGATGTTATAATTGAAAAAAATAACTCAAAACTTTCTACTCAACTGAATGTATATGAAGTGGCACGGCCAATAGAAAAGGGATTATAGTGGATACCAATATATTCTTCAGAAATGGGTTTAGACAGTACGACAGATAGATAGATAGATAGATAGATAGATAGATAGATAAGGAATAGAATTAGATAGATAGATAGATAGATAGATAGATAGATAGATAGATAGATAGATAAGGAATAGAATTAGATAGATAGGTAATGAATTCATAGGATTATAGTAGATACCAATATATACTTCAGAAATAGGTTTAGAGAGTACAACAGATAGATAGATAGATAGATAGATAGATAGATAGATAGATAGATAGATAGATAGATAATGAATTAAGGGGATTATAGTGGATACCAATATATACTTCAGAAATGGGTTTAGAAAGTACGACATATAGATACATAGATAGATAAACAGATAGATATGGAATAGAATTAGATAGATAGATAGATAGATAGATAGATAGATAGATAGATAGATAAAGGAATTAAAGGAATTATGATGGATACCATTATATACTTCATGAATGGGTTTAGAGTGCACGACAGATAGATTCGAAACAATTATATATATATATATATATATATATATATATATATATATATATATATATATGTCAACGTGGAAGCTTAAACAGTATTCAACTTGATATTTGTCTAGGAGAGAATTTTGACATATAGCTATATATTGTGCAAGGACATTCAGGAAGAAAGAGGTTCTAAGGGCTTAGAAACTGATGCAAGCAATCCTAACGATAGTTTTTTTATTATCCGCAACAAACGACTATATTTGCATCTGTATGCATTTCTATACGTGCAGCGAGACATCGCGCAGAAATTAATCTGTATACAATAATAATGATCAATAAAAAATATGCAACTTGACACGCAACATTGTTAATACTACTTCTGTATGGCGTGTCGCTTCTCCACTAATTCCTGTCCTTTGTAGCTCTTAATAAAATCTATTTCTTATCTCCCTTAAACATGTCTGCGTCATCCATTTACACAAGCTCTCTGGGTATGTTTCCCTCTGACCCTATTGCCTTCAATATGTCCTGTGAATATAAAAATTTTCAAGCCATTTTTACTCATTATGTTATTTTTGTTTCTATTTTTGTAAACTTTCGTCGTTCTATAATTATTAGGTTGGTGCAAAAATAATGACGTAATAATGTCGTTTTTTGACGTTAAAAATACGTCAAAAAACGACATTATTTTTGCACCAACCTAATATTTGGACCATGATATTCTCAGCATCCTTCCGTAGAACTGTATTTCTGTTGCTGAAAAACCCGTACTTGCACCTATGGGGAGATTTTCCAGCAAGCACTAGAAAAACTTGGCCGTTGATCTCGGAAACGACCTCCAATCTGTGGTCGACTGGGGCAGGAAATGGCTTGTAAACTTTAATGCCTCCAAAACGAAACTGCTCTCATTTACCCACCATAGACAAACTCCTCTCCCCCGCTGCCTCCTATCAGCATGGCTAATGCTCAGCTCAACTAGAGCGTTTCTCTGCGTCTTCTACATCTTACGTTTTCCACTGATCTCAGTTGGAACAATTACATCGTATTAATAGTTCTACCGTAAGGAAAATTGATTCTCTGTGTCGAGCCGGCTAATTGATCTGGTGAGTTATTTTCACTGGTGTCCCGACTGCATGAATTTAAGCGTGCTACTAGACCTCCACCCTTTTACTGATGAAATCGTTAAATGCAACCACCTCTTCTACTCCAGCAGCTTCTTCTCTCGCACTTCCTGACAGTGGAACTCCCTTCCTCTTACTTGTTTCCCTGATAACTATAATCTTCAAAAATTTAAATGTAACGTCAATCGACATCTTTGATGCATTGATATTGATCGCCGTCCTTCTCTATAGCCTTTCATCAAATACTTTACTCTTTCTTTCACTCACTGTAACTCCTTCCGCGCCAGTGGAAAAGCCGGGCCGACATTACATATTATTTCAGTACTCTTTTCTTTGTTCCTAACAAAATTTTCTTAATATTTTGCTTTACTTTTGGAAGGCATCTTTCGCTATCTCAACGCTCCTTCGGATGCCAGTGTCGCATTTTCTGTCCTCTGATATTTAAATCGTTAGACTTTAGTGTCTTCAATTTGTATGTTAGTGAATCAAAGTGAGAAAAAAGGACTTAACACCAGTTGCAAGAAGGCAGTATTGATGTTTGTTAGCAAAACGAGCAGGCCAAATTTGTGAATTACTAAATGATTATTTTAAATTAAATAAAATAAAGTTACAGTTATTTACAACAGAATTTTTCTGTGTGGGAATGAGAGGTTTGCTACGTAGATTTACTAATATTTCTTTTTCGGTTTTCATTGTAGAATGAAAATAATGGAACCACTAGAATTTCAATCAAATAAGTATCGTAGTCATATAACATTTTTCATTTAGCTGATTGATGTTATGTCCAGTCTCTCCTTTATCCCCGACTCTAGAGTCTCGTTGACGAAAATTTTGTAATCGTTCGGTCCACTCGTCATGAGGTTTCAATATGTGCGTGTTTGTTTTTCAAATAATCTTTATTCAACAATACCGACAAAGT